TGGACGCTCCAGCATTTTGCGATCACGTTTTAGCCGTGGATTCCATGTCTGGATGGCGTACTTTGTGAGTGGGTTAATTTATGTTGATAGTAGACGTGGAAAAAGAGCTGAATCAGACCGGCCAAAGACCCGCTTAAGCAAACCGACATTATTTACACCTGCATTCGACACATTGGCGCAGTTGATTGAGCAGCTTAAGTCTTCTTGAATAATGATGTCAAGGTCCTTCTCACTTAAAGCACGTTGAAGTTGATCATTTCCGAGGAAATACGAAAATTGCCCCTCGTGTCACTTTGGCACATTGAATTCAATATCGTTTATAATGGACCACAGATGAACTGCTTTCAACGTTTCCTGGAGTGCCCGTGAGCCCACTGGTCGCATTATTGTATCCCAAATTTTGGCCGCATCGGCAAACAGTAATGTTTTTGACCCCAGAGCCTTTGGTAGGTCGTTTATGAATGTTAGGAAAAGTCGAGGACCAAGCACAGATACTTGTGGAATCCCTCGAGTAACGTACATCGGACTGGAAAGCAAATCAGAAACATTAACCGACCCGGTCCGATGTCGATCCAACCAAGCATGAGGTCCCGAATACCGTGATTATGGAGTTTCCGCAATAGAATGTCGTGGTTCAACCAATCGAACGCTTTGGAGAAGTCTAGATAAATAAAGTCTACCGCGTCTCCACCATCAACTGATTTTGTCCATTCTTCTCGTGCGATCAGCAAATCGGTAGCGTAGGATCGCTTCTGTCGGAATCCATATTGATTTGGTGACAGAACGTTGTGCTTCTCTAGGTGTTCCAACAGGGAATCTACTACTAAGGACTCCATGACTTTGGACAACACTGGAAGGAGGATTACAGGGCGCTAGTTAGCAGGATCGCTACGGCAAACGCCTTTGTAAATAGGTGAAATTACTCTCGGCTTCCAGGACGGAGGGATTGCAGTGTGATCGAACATACTCTGGAATAGGATATTTGATTTTCCAAACAGATAATGGTTTGGGGGTGAATATTGTCTGCACTCTGCGGTGAATTCTTCCTCAAAGCCAATAGCTTTGCTTTAACCTTTTCGGTAGTGAATAATACAATGGTTAGTAAACGATGTGGATGTGGATGCATCCAGCAAGGGAGGTACAGTCGTTCGTTAGTTGACACAGCAAACACTTGGGCATGGTGGTTCTTCAGCATTTCAACGGCTTCCATTGTATTGGCTGTGGCTCTTCCAGAAGATCTGAGCACTGGTATTCCATGTTTAACTTTTCGAGCTGGGTTAACATGTTTGTACAAAAGCTTGTGGTTTAAAATAAATTTCTGTGCTAGAGAGTGTTGATGGTTTAGTTTACCTTCGCGCACCAACTTGGTGCAGTGATTTCGCAGCAGTCAGTAATTGTCCCAGGTGCGTGCATTTGGAAGTCGTTTGTACTTTCTCCAAAAGAGATCCCTCAGAAATATCCATTTCTTTCTACGGCTTTGAGTAGGTGATTTCCGACTGCTGGGTTTGGTAACAACTTTTACCTGCGTCACTGACGCTATTAGTTGTTGCAGATTGTCAATAAATTCCTGCCACACGATTAAAGGGTTGTGCTCTTCCCTACGAGATATCCATTGAACGAAAGGAGCCAAGCTCTGCAACTTTGCATAGTTGATGAATGTGCAAATGTTCTTTAGGTTAATTATTTTGACAGAAGCGTAACAAAGGCATTTGAACAACGGTACAGCATGGTCACTGCTTCCAAGGGGGATCGTAACGGCGACGGATTCTATCATCAACTCTTCGTTTGTCAACACTAAATCCAGGATGGATGGTGATTGCAAGTTTACGAATCTGGTATGCTCTTTCACGTGGTTGTACAGTGGTTGTGAGGCAATTAGATTGATGAAGTGCTGTTTGAATAAAGAATGGGAGGTTATTGGTTTGCCGAGACTGGGACAATTAAAATCACCTATTGTGAATCTTTTTACGAGAATGTGTAACATAGCGTTCTAAAGAGTCATATTGGCTGATTCCGTGGTTGACGGAGGATGATAGATGACACCAATCAAACAGTCATCGTGTTTGGACAACCTCGACCTACACCACAGAGTGTCAGGTGTCGAAACTGGGGAGTGGATTTGCTCGCAACAAGGTTGTTTCGATAGTAGAGTAGAACACCACCACCACGGGTAGGACGAGGGCATCTGAGCAGAGACATCTCTGGTAAGGATAATTTGGAGTTCGGAATATCGGCTGCAAGCCAAGTTTCTGTAACAGCAATAATATCCCATTGACCTGATATGAAACGCAAATTCAGCAAATGCTGAGGAGTCTTTGGGCATTGGTGTAGCAACAGTTTAAATATTTTCGGTGTAGAGATCCGATTGGATTAGAAGTGGCATCTTGGCCGACCTATTCGTGGTCGGCTTCCATTAGTTTTTTGACAGAGAAGCTCTGATACTTTGGACCACCGGTTGTGGGACGGAATGTGGTACCAGCTTTGAGGGATCCAATGTATTAGCAGGGTTCTCGGGATGTGAGTGTGTCTGTAGTCCCGGATTGAGTAATGGTCTCACAGTTAGTTCCGGTGGCCCTCTGTCCTTTCGTTCTCGCCATCACTGCAAGACGATGTTGGTCATGTCATGTCTGGAGTACCAAGGTTAACTTTTATTATACTTGGACCGGTGCCATGGTAAGTTGGTGGGTAGGGAAGATGACTGATTGTGTTTGTCGAAGGGGGTTACTCGCCTCGGCATGGTCGAGCAATTTCACCAAATGATTTGTGTTACGTTTTGATTTCAAACAGTCTAGCCTCGCACCCGTAGCCCGCTAGCAAGGCAGAACAACAGTACGCAGGGTAGAATAGATTTATTATGNCTCGTTCATGATCAATCGTGTCAAGTATATGTTAAGCCAGGCAGCGATAGAACTAACAGCCAATCAGAATCAGGCCCATGTCGGCCAACAGTATTGGCATAGGCAAGTGCGTGAGGTTGATCGATCTGAGTAGAAATCAATCGATAATGTCTTTGAAACGAGCAAATTATCAATGCACAGACTGACAGAACGTTTGCACTTAAGCCGCAGACAGGTATGCAACATCTCCCGCAATCCAGCTTTGGTCATTACCCGGGAACAAAACGGTCAATCGGTTTTGGTAAACGTACGGGCTTACGGACCGCAATCGGCTCATCACAACCGGGCAGGCCTTGTGTAGTGTCACCGTGCGCTTCTTCCTGATTTTCCAACTCTCGTTTGAGTCTTCAACAGTGACCCCCTCGACCGGGCGCGAACGCACATGATCTGTGTGCCGACGGACGATTTTTCGATCGCCAAGTTCTATGGCATTTTGCGTTCCGGACTGTTCGAGCAATGTACCGGGTGCCAAAAGGCGCTCATGGGGCGATTTCGTATAAGCTTTAGAATCAAGTTCCTTTTCCTCCCATAATCCGATTTGTTTGCCTCTTTGCATGCGGTAAATGTTTCGCCGCATCGTTTCACATGGGCCAGGGAAAATTAGGTCTAATCATGTCCTCAGTCGTCGCCGAAACATCATCTCTCCCGGAGTCTTATTGATGGACTCTTAAGGTGTTGTCCTATATGCAAACAGAAATCTGTCAAGTCTGATCTGCATTGAGGCTGGCCGCTGATTGCGCAATACTTTTTTTACTATTTCCATTGCTCTCTCAGCTATGTCATTGGATGATGGGTAACAGGGTGCTGGAACTGTGTGCATGAACGATGAAGGTGGAGAACAATTTGAGAACATGTCATGCTTATCTAATAATACTTTTTGGGCCTTTTTACTCAGCTCTTGTATATATTTTAGTCACATTTGAATCCAGATTGTGTGTTTCGCGTGATTTTCAAAGTAAAATACAATTCTATCAAGTATCCAAACGGTTCGTATTGTTTTCAACTTTAGGTACTTAGTCATTTTTAGATTTTTGTTAAAGTGAAAAATTCAATGTGATAAACCGGACAACGGGTGAATCCGGTGAGTCAGGCAAAATCGGATTGATGAAATTTACGATCTATGTTTCCCTCGGCAATCTTATTCTCAATAGTTACGACCTCGATTTTCTTTTCAGCAGTCATACAGTGACATATTTGGAACACAATTTTTCTCTGTGCGGTTTCGCCCAATTTTCAATGGAGACTTACATTATTATCGGTGGAATTTGTGCTGTCTTACTGGTTGGAATACACTTTCTCCGTTCCTATCTGTCTGGAACCAAATGCCTGTTACGTCAGCGTTTAGATGGCAAAGTTATCGTTGTCACTGGTTCCAACACCGGAATCGGTTTGGAGACGGTTGCCGAACTGGCTCGCCGTGGAGCTCGT